ATAAAGATTGACAGCTTTGGAAACCCTATAGGGCAGTTCTACTCTGTCCTAAAGGGTCACTATGAATTGAAATTGACTTTGTAGCAATGGGTTTAATCATTATGGAAATAGACAGCTGATCTTTTGGTTAGTAGCTGAGCACTTCACCACTGCATTTAGGAGGTATAATTTGTAATGATTTTTAGTAAAACTTTAGATTCCAAAGTATTATTTTTCCCATATGCCCTATGTTCTCACATGCCTTATGTACTCTGACCATTCTTGCCAATCATGCTTTGGTGGAAAGGTTGAGAAATACTGTGTTGGAGCATTTTTTCACCTAACACCCAGAAGGTCTATCCTCCTCACACATCTAATTTCATGCTCAGTATGGCCATAACTCATAGGTGGTTCTTTCATTTTAAGAAGACTGGCCTCACATTTGGTGGCCTTCCTGTTTCAACATGGGCTTTGGGCACAAACATGGTATTTTTTTCTTGGCTTTATTTTCTCTACACACTTTCCTGTCTGAGGCTTTGCTTTACAGCCTTCTGAGAGGCATGTGTTGCTCTGTGGATGACATAGAAACTGCTGTGAACAAAGAAGCTATGCTTAGATTATTATTGTTTTCTATATTCAAGTTGTCATAATTGATATTAGAGTTGTCATAATTGATTTGGAGAGGATGGATGTTTTGGTTACGTCTAGTGCCTAGGTATTTGACTGTTAACCAGAAAGTTGGTGGTTCAAACCCACAAGCCACTCTGCAGAAGGAAGACTGGGCAATCTACTTCTGTAAAGATTTTCCATTTCAGAAACCCAAAGGGGGTCACTATGAGTAGGAATCGACTTGATGGTAGTGAGTCTGGTTTGGTTTGGTTTTGATTAGTGCTGCCCTAACAGGAATATGCCACAAAAGAGTGGTTTCAACAAATAGGAGTTTATTCTCTTACTGTTCAGAAGGCTAGAAGTCGGAGTTCAATGTGCTAGCTCTAGGGACTGGGTGAAAACTCCTCGACCTTGGGCTTCAGCTCTGCCTTTTGCTCCTGGCCCACTGGAGCTGGAGGCATCTCTTCACTGAGGCAGCTGCTGACTACTGAGGCTGAGGAACCCAATGGCACAGTCCCAAAATTATCAAACCACATGGCAGCCCACTAATTCAAGTTCATTAATAGTCCCAAGACTAGCGGACAACATGGTAGGCTGCTGAATCATGTCTTGGCTACTTGCCAGATTCAAGTGTGCCAAAAGCTCAAGACCATTCCCAAAAACTTCTTATATACTGGAAGCAGACCACATCCCTAAAGCGTAGATTCCACCATGAAGTTGATTACCAGTCTCATTATGGGGAATGACTACAACCAGCTGCCCATCCATTCAAAACCAGGCCCATCCAAGTCGACACATAACCTTAACTATCACATTGACCTCTACATATTTCCTGGCACATCTAGGAGAGAACCATCTGTGCAGGATGGTCTATAGGACCGCTGAGTGGCCTCACGTCTTCTGTGGTTGCGGTCTGATGGATTTTCTTCCAGTTTCAGCAGGTTTACATTGCCAGGCACACTTTAAAACTCTTCCCTACAAAAATGAGTTCAGCATTTGTTTCTGTGGTGTGGATTTGGAATATCATTAAATAGGCACATATCTGGGAACATAGGGGTAATCTTGGTTTACGTGTAGCATTTAGTTAGTGACAACCTGCAATAATTGGAACAGATAGAACTCAAGAATTAGGAAAACTCATGAACATTTTATGGCATTATATTAATTATAAAACATTTTAATCTCCAAGATATATAGAATATAGAGCTCAGTCTGAGCTAGTATACTCAAAGTAGATTCTCATTTTAGTTTGCAATTTATAAGTACCTTCAATCTCTATGGAGTGGATTATATCACAATTATTATCACAGGTTATCAGCAAAGGAAATTCCAAATTGATTGCCCCAATTGTCGTGTTAATCCAACAGTCTAACAGAATTTTGATATATGTATCACATTAATAATTGAACTTTTTTTGAAAAACTAGTATGAGCCAAGCAAATAGGAGACTATTATACACATAGAAGATATAGATTATATCCTTGCACAGTTTACAATCCAAGGTATATTTAGATAAAATAATTAGCAAGCAATATAAGATTGAATCGGAGAAGTCCTCTTGGTGCAATGGTTAAGTGGTTGGGTAGTAACTGAAAGGTCAGCAGTTCAAACCCACTAGTTACTCTGCGGGTGAAAGATGTGGTAGCTGCTTCCATAATGATTTTCAGTCTTAGAAACACTGCGGGGCAATTTTACTTTGTTCTTCAGCTTCTCTAAGATGAAATCAACCCAATGGCAGTGGGTTTGGTTTTTAGTATAAGATTGAATCTAGTAGAAGTAAGTACTAGATTTTGTGGTGTTCTCAGTGTTGAGCATTCTACCCTGAAAACCTACCTTAGAGTCCACAGACACATTTTAGTATGACTTAGCAAATTTTCTCATAATAAGGATAAGACCATATAAAAATATTCCAATTAGTTAGGATCCAATTAGGTGTATGTGAAGAATAAGTGAATATTTATTTATAAGACTATGCATGAATAACTTGCAGGACTGGAAGTCAAACAGAGGAATTCAGATATACATTTGGCTAGTCTTGATGGTAGAATCAGTATGCTAGAAATTTATTGATTTATTTGATAGGTATTTGGTTTGTATCTATTGAGTACATTGCCCTGATCTGGGCATTGAGGGGGAGGCAAAAAATTTTGAAAATTTTAAATTTTAAATTTTGAAAATTTAAGTTTTCATCTTGCTTATAAAAGAATAGCTAAGTATCCCTAAAAAATAGTTTATAAATAAATGGCCAAATTAAGACAAAGATAAGTTTTAGGAAAGGAGAATTCAAAGAGACATCAAGTATTAGCTCATGGAAGAGAAAGATATGATTAAGATTTACTTCCTGTAGAGAGTCAGAGGAAAGTGCTCATGGTCAGAGTAAGCACTATGATTAAAACACTCAGTTGGTAGTAAATGTATTTAAAAGAAGTAAGAAGGTGATCATTGATCATCATGATATGGAGGTTTATACAGTGAATCAGTAGGAAAAAAGACTGGATCTAGCAGTCTATTGAATGAACTTCAGATGGCAAATGAAGTTGTATTTCATCCATAATTGATAGAGATATGAAGCACACTTAGTTTTTGGTATGAAAAACAACCATAAACAATGGAGGATATTCATTACTAGTTTATTACTATTATTTTTTGAGGTTCCTTGACCCATTGTCCTTAAGAATATTTTATGAATTTAGAAGATTCCTCCCTTTCTTGAAAGGTTTTCAGGAACACATGCAATTAATTCCTTTTACCAGTCAAGATTAAAACCGGCAAAGATACATCACAGAAAAAGTATGTATATACAACAACCCCATATAATTACTCAGTGAAATATGCATATTTAAAATGTTATATTGAATATATCATTAATGACTTGAACTTGAACTGTTAAGTCACAGTGAAAGATAATTCTCTCTTCTTAAGTACTAGCCAGACCATAATCTACTGATGTCATTCTCTATTGTTATTATAAATAACACAGGCTAGAAGTGACAAATTTAGCTTTGCTTTCAAACGTCTCAGTTTTGGCTAATCCTCAATCCCAGGACATTCTTTAAAGCATCTTTCATTTCCTTGTTTCGGAGACTATAGATAAGGGGATTTAATAGTGGAGTCACTGCTGAATACATCAAAGTGATGATCTTCTGCATCCCTGCGGGGTTCCCTGATGTTGGGCTCACATACACAACCATAAGAGTTCCATAGAATAAAGACACCACCATCAGGTGAGACCCACATGTGGAGAAAGCTTTAGTTCTACCAGCTCCGGAGGGAACACGAAGAACAGCTCTGAGCACCAGAGTGTAGGATCCCAAAATGGAGAGGAAGGGCCCAGAGATAATCACTGAGTTGACAGTGTAACAGATAAGTTCAATAAAAGGTGCAGGGACACAGACCAGTGTGAACAATGGGCCTGGGTCACACACAATGTGGTCAATGACATTGGGTCCACAGAAGGGAAGTTGGGAGATGAGGGCAATGGGGACTGGATAGCAAAGGAATCCACTCACCCAGCAAACACAGACCAGGATCACACAGAACTTTCCAGTCATGAAAGAAGGGTAGTGCAGTGGACGGCAGATGGCCAGGTACCGATCATAGGCCATAACTGATAAGAAGAAACCCTCAGTTGTACCCAGTGAAAAAAAGAAGTAGAACTGGAGGAAACAGCCAGAGAAAGAGATGGTCTTGGCTTCAGAAAGAATGTTGACCAGAAGGTTTGGGACAGTGGAGGAGACATACCAGATCTCTAAGAAGGCAAAGTTGCCCAAGAAGATGTACATGGGTGTGTGGAGACGCCTGTCCCATTTCACTGCACAGACAATAGCCCCATTCCCCAGCAGGGTCAGGAGATAGACCACCAAGATTAGTGAGAACAGGAAGTTCTGTGTCTCCTTTTGACCTGGGAAACCCAGGAGGACAAACTCAGTCACAACATGCATGGTTCTGTTCTGGTGCCTCAAAGCTGTTCAAGAAACAAAGAGACCAAGAATGAATAATGAACATTTGTAAGTTATGCTAATAATTGCTCAAAAATGTACTAAGCATTTTCAAATACATTATCTCATTTGGTCCTCCTCATGACCTTTGAACTGTAATGAAGGAGAGGTATGCTTTATTTATGCTTTTTATTTATGTAACTCTCTCTCTCTGTCCTGTTTTCCCTGCAGATAAGAAAACTGAAGTTCAGAGAGAGTTAATGCATTTAGTCAAATGTGCAAAGCCAATAATTTCCAGATATACTGACTCATTTGGAGGTTGGTTTGGAACAAACACCACTTCATTTCAAATATTCCTGTAACCTGAAGTCTCAAAACCAAAAACCAAACTCACTGCCGTTGAGTCGGATCTGACTCATAGCAACCCCTCCTTAGGTTTCCAAGGCATTCTCACTATGGAAGTAGATTGCCCAACCTTCCTTCCAAGGAGCAGCTGGTTGGTTTGAACCACCAGCCTTCTGGTTAGCAGTCAAATGCCTTAGGCAGTATGCTATAGAATCAGTGCCTCTTAGATATCTTACATACAAGTATAAACTTTGGAACCACCCTTTTACTTTGAAGCAAAATTGAGTATAAATTTGAAAGGAAAAATAGCTGTTAAATTACCTTCTTAGAATTTCCTATGTAGATGTTCAATAAAAGCAAATGAGAACAGAGGTAGGAAGTAACCTTAAACTCCCTTGCCTTTGCTGTTCCCAAGGAGGTGCTACAGAGCCCTTTGGGTTCTGTAAAAATGTTTTGCAAATCACCAATCTGGTTCCCTCTAGATCACATCTCTCAGGTGACGTCTGAAGTTGCTGAACACTTCCACCCATTTCCTGCTTGAGGAGCTCTGGTTTTCTCAAAGCACTTCTTTATTTTGCACAAACTGCCTGGGACTCCTTTTTGAAGCTACACAAAATAAGTCTAATTCTTGGTCCATGGAGTGGGTAATTACTGAAGACAGCTGTCATGTGCAGTATACATCACTTATTTTGCCATCATTTTCCCTGGCTTGTTTTTTGAAGAAGCTGTGCTGTTCCACAATTCCACAGTCATGACTGGACATTTGTGGCAGCTTGGTGTTTTGCTGCTGGGTAAATTTAACTTCTCTAGTGTATACAATCATGTGCTTTCATTTTTGCCAAGAATTAAGCCCTAAACACAGCAATTTAAGTTCCTTCATAATCTTGCTTTCACCCCAATTAAATAAAGAATAGAAGGTTCTCTTTAGGATGTACAAACCCAAACCCACTGTCACTGAGTTGATTCTGATTCATGATGAGTTTCCAAGGCTGTAAATCTTTATGGAAGTAGATTGCCTCATCTTCCTCCCATGGAGCAGCTGGTGGGTTTGAACCATTGACTTTCTGGATAGCAGCCAAATATACCTTACCCAGTGTACCACCAGAGCTCTTTCTTAGGATGTGCAGACACCACAAATATCTTTCTGATGATAGCTGAATCAGAATTTGAGACAAAATTTTAAACCTGGATATTTTTCAAGCAACCTTCTTGAAACTATTGGTCCAGGTTGATTTCTATGTTCTAAACTTTGCTAGTTAAAAGTCAGAATGTTTGGTTGGATAAGCCACCATCAGTATTTTAAATTCAACAATATATTAACTTTAAAAATAGAATAACTGACATATTGTTTACTGAAGTCATTGTTAAGATACTCACCAAATTCCATCCTTATGCCATTTAAACCATCTGCAGAGAGCAAGAAGCCTGCTTCTAAGTATTTGATCACACATGGAGGAAACCCAGAAGGAGAAACATTTTATTGTCAAGGTTATTTTGGATATTTGTATTAACACTTTTTTTTTTTTTAGAAAGATGAAAAAAACTGTGTCTAACAAACATGATTTTTATGAAAATATAAATTTAGTCCATGAGATTTGGTTCACTGGACTATAATTATGATAACCATATGCATCAAAATTTCTAGGAGAGTTATAATGTCAAATATACTTACTTCAACTATACTTATATTTGCCAGACCACATGCCATCATGTTTTATTGAAAAATACAGTTACCAGGCTTCTAATAACTTAAAAAATTTAATGCTGACTTTAGATTGCAAAATTTCTTCCATTAATTTATTAATTCAGACATTTAATTAGTGTGTTTTCTCTTTCTTTCTTTCTTTTTTTTTCATGGTCATTTTTCTAGTAATGTCTTAAGTTCTTGGGTACAATGCTGAACATGGAAAATAAAATTTCTCTCCCTTTGGAACTTATGATTTGTACAAACAATCCGTGCTGTCACCTGTATCTGTATGGTTGTCTGTGTGAATGGGACTTTCTGGTGCAGTGTGTTTCACAGCACACCCAATTGTATGCTGTGCACTTGGAAAACAATATTTATTCCAGTTAGAAACAATTTAAATAAATATATATAGTGAGGGCGGCATGAAAACAAACTTTACTTGGCATAAAATGGATGCAATATCACTATATTCACAAGTGCTTAGTGAAGAACCATTTGGAGCAGAACACACACCAGACACTACTAACAGCATTATCAACAGGCATTTATTACTCATAGAATAAACAGGACAGGGATGAGTAGAACA